GAAAATGGCTGAAACGGCAGGTCCAATTCAAACCGATCCAGACCTCTTTAGCAAGCGATGGCAAATAGGCCATGCAACTGAAACCAACAAGCCCGCATATCCTTAACAAACGATAATAAATGAGTTGTCCAAATAAAGATTCTTTATTTGATTAATGCAGAGGTGTGTCGTTTAGATATTGAGTTTGGTCTTTCTCCATTGGCGGCGCTTGTAATTGTAACTATCTAATAAAAGGATGCTGTAAATACCGAATGTTAGTATCCGTCTTCAGGCGGAACCATTGGGGTAGAGGTCGGTTCTGCTTTTGTTTCTTTCCGAGAATTCGCTTAATCTTGAATGTTTTGTGAGACGGCTAGAAGATTAATATTTGAAAGCCTTGAGTGGTTTACATGCAATGTTTGATGAAACAAAAGCGAAAAGGCAAAATGAATAACAGATGAAAATGGAGAAAAAGCTGTGGATGGGAGAACCTACCATTGAAGACCAAGAATTTATAATGTTAATAAATTTATATTTTAGAGTTTATTTTTTTTGAGCGACCTCAATTGGTTTACAAGGACAGCCATTTTCTTCTTTAATACAATGTCCACAAAGACCGACTCAAGGAAAGACTCGCCTTGGAAATGGCAATCGGTACAATTTGTGGTAATATTTTTTCTCAAATGCCCATCTTGGCTTTTAAGGATAATCACGGTAATCGAGCAGAGCAGTACCAGCAGTGAAATACACAGATACGTGAATGGAATCTTTCTCGATTTCCCCGCCGACACAGCCGTCGAATGTATCATCTTTGGCTGCTTGTGTTTCTCATGAAGTATTGTTAGCGACATTGGTCTTGCTTTTTGGCACAACCTCTTAACATGTGTATTCATATGAGATCCGATTCTTCTGATTAAGTAAAGGGCCAGCCCGTTTGTAATGTCTAAAATGGTTACTGTTGCTATCATGGTGATACTTGAGATTACGAAATGATCCTGCAGCCCATTAAGTAGCCTTAAGCCATATGTTCCGCTGATCACAGAGTGGATTGGGTCAATCACCCCCAACGAGAGTTCAATTTGAAGCAATATAATGGGGCATGTGATGATCCTGTCCATGTAGATGAAAATTTCGATGCTACATGTTAGCGATTAGATGGAATCGTGCAGAAACCTTGACGAGAATTCGCCATCCTTGCTCAAAATGGACTTTCGTGAGCTTTTCAAAATTTGGAACTGAAGAAGCCTTGGCTGGATGCCCGGACCTCCATACAGCATTCCCTTTCTGAATGTAAAATTCCGGCCTTCATTTTCCTCATCTAGTAATGAGAGGAGCGCAACGAGACAAACCTAATGCATAGCTCCACCTCCATAACTTTGAATTTCCCGTCAAAAAGGCATCAAATAAAATTTTCTCAAAAACAAAGTCCGTTATCGACGATATTCCGGCTTCGAAAACCTGCCTAAATGAGTACGAATGGTATTTGATTGGTTCAAATGAAATGGGGAAGTCTGAGGCCAGCATGAAGCTTTTTCTTCTCGCTTGCTACTGTAAGAGGATAAATTCTGCTACCAAAGACGAGTTCACAAGCACAGAGTTCCATACGCTTCTTATTTTCTCAAATGCAGATTCGCGCTGCAAAAACGAGGCAAAAAAGTACTGCGCTAATGGGAGTCAGAAAAGAAACCTTTGATTTTAGCGTGGAAACCAAAATTGAATTGGGGAAAATGAAGGCTGTTGATTTCCGCTCGATTTCGATCACTTCGTCTAATTCGATCACTAGCTATCAATAAAAAATAGGACATCCAAGCCTTTGTGCACCACCCGAAAATATTGGAGTAGAAACATAGATGCGCGTTGGTCAAGTATAGCCGGCCCTGTATCAAAATATCCTTCTGGAATGCACATGTATAAGCTATGTGTTAAGAAAAGATATTCCGCTGTGTACAGTCAAGAACGGTCTCCGCTTCTTGAAGCCCGGATTTCCGGAAAATGTGGTAGAAATCGGAATATTTTTTTGATTTATGAAAATTGTCTGTAGATGTTCTGACCCGGGTTCCCATTGGTGACTTGTGGCTTGGAAAGATTGTACTTCAAATTGCCTATTTGGGGCCAAATTAATTTGCTGCCGATTTATTCTTTATTAATTATTTACACACAAACTAAACCATAATCTGCACGGCATTTTCAAGTTTAACGGACGAGACATCGGAGCGTTTTGTTTCTTTCAGGGCAATGGTGGAATTATAAATAGGAAATCGTTTTCGAATGATGTGGCGAAAGTCTACTTGTTCGGGGAAGGCTGCGGTCCTGGACAGCAGATTATCCAAAAACGACAATAGCCTTGGAAGCTCATTGTCTTTTGGATCGTCGAACCAAGAGGGGATGGCATATCCATTTTCTGGATGGAGTGCATATGCCTGAATGGAGTTGTCCACAAGAATGGTATGGGATAGCGGGCGCCCCAGAATGCTAAGATCTTTCACAAAAGATCCCTCCAAAAATCGACACGACTCCCTAAATAGGGAGTGCGAAAAGATGGAGCCATCTGGATCCATTAAGGAGAGGACGCGACGGGCGTATATTTTTTGGCTTGCCGTGAAGAGAACAACATCGATCACATCGGAACGATGTTTGAGCTCCTCTAAAAACGAAAACAAGTGCGGACGCCAGCGAACATACACCTCCAGAGGTAAAGCGCGGCCTGGAATGCAGAGGTTAAATGAAATGTCAAATGGGCTCA